GTTGAATTCAACTATGGGGTGTGGTGCTCATCTCTGCTTTCTGGCCAAGGGAACTGGCATTTGTCCACAGACAGCTTTTCCAGGTCATGTGGCCAGCATGACTAAACCGCTTCTGGTGCATGGAGGACTGTGATGAGCAGTGCTTTTTTCCTGGGGGAGACGCAGGGGTATGCATACCCCTAAACATTTTGTGAATCTACGGTAAGTTTGGCTTCATTGAGTGGCAATATTTCAATATGAGTAGGAAAATGAGAGTATCCCTAAACACTTTTTTTAAATAGAAAGCAGCACTGGGTAAGAGATTCCTGTTGTCTGGCCAGTATAGGATTTTGAGGGAAGAGCTTCATTCTCATGAAGGCAGAGATCTGAGATCCCCGACTTTCTGTAGCATCACTAGCACTGAGTTTGGAATAGGGGAAATTTCAGACCCCCCAAGTGCCCCCATTTCCCAGGGACAGTCCCAGATTTACAGAAGCTGCCCCAGTTTCTGATGCGATCCCGGAATGTCCTGCTTTTCCTTAGGACCTCCCTATTTTAAATGTTCCCTAAGACTGTCATGGAGCATTACCAGCACAGAATGCAGAGGCTGATGAGAAAGTCTACTTACATCTCCATCCACTTTCTCTCTCACTTGCTGAATGATCAAACCAAAGGAGATAGCAGAGGGAGGTGTCACAATGAAGGGCGTGTCACAAGGACCTCCGCAACCTAGCAACCACCAGCACTCAAATGACACTACTCTCAACTGACACTACTAAATTTGCTTATCTGGCTTTTAATCCATGTTCAGCTTTTTACAAATATATAAAATGAAATTTATTCCTTTATAGTCAAGCTTCTGTTGTTCCTGCACCTACTGAGCATTAGCTAGCTAATCTACCTCTCTGCCTCTTTGGTCCTATATTACTGAATGGTGGAAAACCAGAAATCACCCCTTGTGTATTTATTCATTTTATAACCGTTCTTCCAGGGCTTTTTTTCAGGGGGGAAGCAGGGATACACATACCCCTAAACATTTTGTGACTCTAAGTTTGACATCATTGAGGGGCAGTATTTCAAGATGAGTAGGAAAATGAGAGTACCCCTAAATATTTTTTTTAAAAAAGAAAAAAAGCACTGGTGACGAGACCCAGAGCGCACGGAAATGCCATTTCCCTTCCCACCACAGTGGTACCTATTTATCTACTCAAGCTGATATGCTTTTGAACTGCTTGGTTGGCAGGAGCTGGGACAGAGCAATGGGAGCTCACCCCATCACGGGGATTCGAACCAGCGACCTTCTGATCGGCAAGCCCAAGAGGCTCGGTGGTTTAAACCAAAGCGCCACCCGCATGCCTGCTGGTGTAGACAAAACTGAGTTAGATGGACCAATGGTCTGGTTCAATTATAAGGCAGCTTCCAATGTTCCTGTAATTTCTCATATCAGACCAGACATTATCATTATCATCATCATACTTGTACCCAGGTTATCAGACTGGGTTGCCCCAGCCACTCTGGGCGGTTTCCAACATATACTGTATATAAAATCATAAGACCACAAGATGGCAGTAAACTCCAACAAAAATCAACAGTTTTAACTCCTCTTGTATACTTCTAGTTTAAGTAAGACTACATGAAAACATGTTGGATCACAGAATCGTAGAATAATGGAATTCCAGATTTGCAAGGAATTCCAAGGAAACCCCCTGGAATGCAGGAATCTTCTGCCCAATGTGAGATTAAGAGTCTCATCATGCTGTCCCAACTCTAGCTACGATTCGTGGTTTCCCATAAGCAGGCAAAATTATCCTTGAAAATGAGGCATGATCTGCGATGGTCTTAATAATAATATATCTGTACAGTAAACGTTCTGCAGATCAGCTGGTTGATTTCTTAGCAATGGAAGAATCTTTACAGGAAGGTTTGCTGATTCCCCCCCCACACACACACACCTGCCATGCCCCTGTGTCTTTATCTGCAGACTGACACGCATAAATTCAGAAAGGGACCCTTTATATTTTTTTGCTGCAAAGAGAAAGTGGAAGGGAAGGCTTCACCTGAGTTGCAGTTGCTGGTGAGAGTGCAGCTAAAGGCAGGAAACAGCCAGGCCCGTGGCCCTGTGGGTTAAACCACAGAGCCTTGGACTTGCCGATCAGAAGTTTGGCGGTTCGAATCCCCGTCATGGAGTGAGCTCCCGTTGCTCGGTCCCTGCTCCTGCCAACCTAGCAGTTCGAAAGCATGAAGTGCAAGTAGATAAATAGGTACCGCTCCGGCGGGAAGATAAATGGTGTTTCCATGCGCTGCTCTGGTTCACCAGAAGCAGCTTAGTCATGCTGGCCACATGACCCAGAAGCTGTACACTGGCTCCCTCGGCCTATAGAGCGAGATGAACGCCGCAACCCCAGAGTTGTCCGCTACTGGACCTAATCGTCAGGGGTCCCTTTACCTTCTTTAAGAAGAGAAGGGGTTTTCTCCCTATATATTCCCAACACTCTGCCTTGGAAACAAGGAGATGAAAGAACTTTCAGACTGCTACGTTTCAAGATATGCTGCTTTTATTTACATGAGCCTCAGGAGCTGGGGGTCTATATTAAGACAGTTGTATAACAGGAGAAACCTGTGCTTACAGATGTTGTTGGACTCCAACTCCCATCAGCTCCAGCCAGAACGGCCAATTGTCAGAGATGATGGGAGTAGCGATAATAAAAATAAAAATGATGATGTTAATAGTGTTATGATTTATACCCCACCCATCTGGCTGGGTTTCCCCAGCCACTCTGGGCAGCTCCCAACAGAATATGAAAAACACGATAAAACATCAAACATCAAATCTTCCCTGAACAGGCCTGCCTTTAGATGTCTTCTAAAAGTCAGATAGTTGTTTATTTCCTTGACATTTGGCGGGAGGGCGTACCATAGGGTGGGCGCCACTACCAAGAAGGCCCTAAGCCTGGTTCCCTGTAACCTCACCTCTCACAGTGAGGGAATCACCAGAAGGCCCTCAGAGCTGGACCTCAGTGTCCGGGCTGAATGATGGGGGTGGAGACGCTCCTTCAGGTATATAGGACAGAGGCCATTTAGGGCTTTAAAGGTCAGCACCAACATTTTGAATTGTGCTCGGAAATGTATTGGGAGTCAATCCAGCAACATCTAGAGGTCTCCCCCGCCCCCCCTCCTGTACAGCAGATATACCTGGGAGAAAATCCCATCCCCTTTGTGATGTCAGAACACATCTGAGGACAAGAAACTTTACAGTGATGCCCTTTAGGCTAGTAAATGAGCTCCATTAGAAAGAGATGGACAACTGATCCGTTTCAATGGAGCTTTGGGACAGTATTTGTTGATTTTTAAAATTAATTTTATGCTTAGTGTATTATATGAGATAAATAACTTTTAACACACTGTGGCTTTATGTTTCAGTTAGGTTTTTTGTGTGTGTGTGATTTGCAAGCCTGTAAGCTGCTTGAAAGCTTATGGAGACAACACACACACACAGAATTACACACTTTCACCAATCGTTTAGTAGAACTGCCCTGAGATCTATGAGTATAAGGCGGTATAAAAAACCAACTAACTAACTATTAATTTCCTGCTAAATAAATAAATAAAAAGTAATGCCTGCCAACTGTCAAAAAATGGGGGTGGGGTTTTCAGATTGTTTGTTTGTTTTAAGGCTTAGTCATTCTTCAAGAAACATATTCTTTTCTGGCACTGTAAAAAATAAAAATTAAAATTTGGAAACTCCTTTCCTCAGCTGACCTCTCTGGAAAGAATAAGCAAGACAGCTGAGTTTCATTTTGTCACATCTTTCATGGTTATTTCTGCTCTGTGGTTTGCAGTGATGATATCTGGTGACAGGGGTGTGTGCCCCTGCCCTAGGTTTTGTTGCTCGTGCAGGCAGAAGAATTGGGGGGGGGGATGTTTCATTGCAATTCCGTGTTCTAAATGAAGCCACATGGGCTGCAAATTGATGGACTTAATCCTATTGTGTGTGTGGGGGGGGTATTTTTGTTGCTCTTGTAGGTTTAGGTTCTTATTGGGACACAATCGCTTTCCTGGAAATGTTGCTTCTCTCCCACCCCCTTGCCACCAGCTCTGACACTTGCAGAACAAAAGAAAATGACAGGACAAAATTATGATGAAGTTGTGTGTTGGGCAGGGAGCAGAACCTATGAGCGATTCACCAACCTGTCAAACGGCTCAATAAATCTCAGTTGCCAACGCACCACTTATGCCACAGCAGTTTCATTCCCTTCCACTGGGCAGTTTCATGGCCACCTCCTTGACTTCGGCGGTGTTGTGCTGGCAACAAGAGACCAGTTGCAGCTTGTGTACAAATACACACACACAGCGAGAGCGAGAGATATTTGGAAAACAGCTTATGGAGAACTGAGCAAAATTTCACGACCCTTTTTCTGAATGATGGAGCGACAGCTGCTGCGCACCTCTCAAGCAAAGAATAATAGAATTGGGAGGGACCCCCATCCCCTGCAATGTCAGAATCTAAACATGCAGTTCCCGCCCCCATCCGATTTGAAACCACACCGTACCCTACTTTAGCTTTGCAAATGCTAAAGTTTCATTGCTAGCAGTTGAAATGCTAGCAGTTTCATTTAGCAGTTTCATTGCTGCATCAGAGGGGCAAAAATGTCTTTACCGTGGAGAAAAGTTGGAAGAAAACTCTCCAGCCCCGCGGAGAGCTCGTCGGAACTGGGGTCGCTTCCTAAGGGACGGGGGAGGTTAAAACACAAAGGTGGAAGCCGTCTCCGCTTCTGGCTCTGCCGGATCCCTCCCCATCCTGCAAAAACCCCTCCTTGCAAATCTCAGCGCCTCACTCCGGAGCAGAAAGGGCTCCGCCCTCTTCCTATTGTTGGCTGTCAGTCACTCGGCACTTGGCCCCGCCCAAGCGCCTGCAGTCCCCGCCGCCAATCGCGGGCTTCCCGGGAAAGGATGACCTCACCCTCTCCGTCGCCATTGGCCAGCTATATTAAGAAAGTAGCCGGCGCCTTTAAATACCACAGCCCGAGTTGCCGCGGCGCCATGGAATAAAGTCGACGGGAGCAGCCGCTTGTTGGAAGGCGCAGAGGGCGAGGCGCGCGTCGTTGTTGCAGAGCAGATCGCAGCCCGGAGGCTCGGCAAAGTAAAGCCGCGTCGGATTCCTTCCTGCGAGGGTTTGCCTGCCTCCATTGATCCCTTTCTCCGGAGCCGTCGGGCAACAGGCGGCGGCGAAAAGGGCCGCGCCGGTCCAGATTTGGAGCGGAAAAGAGCAGCTCGACGGCGCGTAGGAAGAAGCAGCCGGTGGAGGAGAGCCGCCGATAGTCCTGCCCCGCCTGGACGTGGCGAAGTGGGCGGTTCCCGCGGCAAGGCCGGAGCCCGCAGGCGAGATCCTCCCGGCCCTCCTCTCGGCCTCTCTCCCGGCGTCGGTTCGCGACGGTGCCCTGCAGAAGGCGCGAGCAGACGGCTGCTGCCGATCGCGGAGAAGGGGTGGCCGCGGTTTCCCTGCTGGAGCAGTATAACCGCGCGGGCTTGGCGCAGCTAGCCATGGCGGCGATCCGCAAGAAGCTGGTGGTGGTGGGCGACGGCGCGTGCGGCAAGACGTGCCTGCTGATCGTCTTCAGCAAGGACGAGTTCCCCGAGGTGTACGTGCCCACCGTCTTCGAGAACTACGTGGCCGACATCGAGGTGGACGGCAAGCAGGTGGAGCTGGCGCTGTGGGACACGGCCGGCCAGGAAGACTACGACCGCCTGCGCCCGCTCTCCTACCCGGACACGGACGTTATCCTCATGTGCTTCTCGGTTGACAGCCCCGACTCCCTGGAGAACATCCCGGAGAAGTGGGTGCCCGAGGTGAAGCACTTCTGCCCCAACGTGCCCATCATCCTGGTGGCCAACAAGAAGGACCTGCGCAACGACGAGCACGTGCGCAACGAGCTGGCGCGCATGAAGCAGGAGCCGGTGCGCACCGACGACGGCCGCGCCATGGCCATCCGCATCCAAGCCTACGATTACCTCGAGTGCTCGGCCAAGACCAAGGAAGGCGTGCGGGAGGTTTTCGAGACGGCCACGCGAGCCGCCTTGCAGAAGCGCTACGGCACCCAGAACGGCTGCATCAATTGCTGCAAGGTGCTATAATGGCGCGCGCAAAAAGGCGCAAAGAAGGGGCAGTTTTCTGGAGGGGCGCGCTGGAAAGCCGAGAGCCGCGCGCAGGACAAACCCGGGGGGAGAGATGGGTGGGTGCCGTCGGAATGCATGCTTCTAGAAGGGGGCGCGGGAGCATGTGTGAACCCCCCACGGGACACGGGGAGGCCTTGATCATCTTCGCAGAGGGCGGACCCCTCGCCAAGGCATCGCCCTGTTTGCTGACACTGAGAGACAACGACTCTCCCCGCCTTCCAAAAGGGCTACTGTGAGACTTGAATGTACCGGGCTCCTTCCTTTCTTTCCTTGCTGGGGAGGACTGCAAACCCATCGCCAAGCCAAATATGGGAATCCATTTCTCGAGCCATTGTGATGGAGGCTATAGTAAGACTATTGAGGTGTCTCCCCACCCAGGACTGAACGGATAGTAACTCTACAAAGAGACATTGTGCTGGACAGATTCGTTCTCTCCCCCCTCTCCCACCCCCAAATCTCCTGCTGTGAATTCGTATTTTCCTTGAGGCTTTGAAAAGGGGAGGAGGGTGGTGGTTTTCCGAGGGGAGGGATCTCTGCTGTGTGTACATATAAAATATTCTCTCGTTTAAACCGGAATACTGAAAGAGTGTGACTTATTTAACACTGGACTGGGCCGCAGTCTCTCTCTGGAGACTTGTTATATTTCAGTTCGGGGAAATTGTGGCCTATTCTCTCGCCTGCCTCTGTTCCCTCAGTGTTTGTTCTTGTGATGGTTTTTTAAGAAAGGAGTTTGGAGGTCTGGAGAGGGCAGTGGAATGAGTTTGGGGGTGGAGCAGGGGAAGAGGGACTTGGGTGGACAATTTTCATAAGCCTGGTGCCTGCTCTCCCTTTTGCTTCCCATCCCCTCCCCTTACTTTTTGAGTCAGCAAATGCTTCCCTGTGGTTTATTTAAATAAATTATCTTCCTTTGCAAAAAAGAGCATACTTTGCACAAACCAGGGTGTTTGTTTGTTTGTTTTTTTATTTTAATTTTGAACACTTTATGTACTTGCTGATCTTCCATCTGAACACTGTAGCATTGCAAAACTCCCTCTTGGAACCTCAAACCTCATTCTGAGCACAACTCAACTAAGCACTTTCTAGCAAAACACTTTGAAAACACCCCTGGTGATGTCATGATTTAAGCACCTAAATCACTTTCACCAGTTGGTGATCAAGAGGGGGCTTGAAAATGTTTAATTTTGGCTCGATTGTGCCAACTTTGTTTTCTGTGTTACTAATTTACAAAGAAGTAAAACCACTGTAACTTCCTTTTGGTTGCCTTGAAAAAACAAGTAGGAACAACGTCTTGTGACATTTACTTGTCTTTTTAAAAGTTTTTCTTTTTAATATAGTACTAAGTGCACTCTTTTGGGCTCATTTAAAATAGCAGTACACTTATTTTCACAGGGCAACTTGTAGGCCTCTGTGAGAATAATCTGTACTTCTGTTTCAGAGAACACATTTAGTTTTCCCTCCCCCTTTACAATTTTTTTACAGTGGTACTAAAGACTCTTAAACACACACTACTAAATCAACCTGGTTAAAAAGAGAAGACCTGTGTAGTTTACATTAAAATTATATAAGCTGTGTATGCAGGTGGTTTTTTTTAATGTAAAGTATTAAAAAATTCTATGACTACACTCACAAATTCTCTTTGCACTTTTTTGAGGTTTAATGAATCCTGGTCCTGGATTTAAAAAAGCATTAAAAGGCTTAAAAAGTGAAGCTGATGATGATTCTTGAGACAATATATTTATAATTCTGTCCCAACTGTAATAGTGGGGCACCCTTAGAAGAATCATTTATTCTCTTGGACAGATTGAAATGCTGTGCAGAGTGAATTGTTTTAAATCCCATTGACTTTGTGGATTTAAACAGCCTAAATGCATGCAGGGTTGCAGTTTTGTGGCTGTGCTAAGCTTATGAGTATCTTGCACTAAAGGAGAGTTTTCTTTTATGGGGGGAGGGTAAAGCTGCTTTAAAAAAGAGAGAGAGAATTTGAGGCTGATCTCTAGTTCTGTAACAAGCAGCTGAAAAGCATAAAAAGCCTTTGTCCTGCTGGGGTGAAGTCAGTGCCTCTTCTGGGTCCTAAAGCCCGCTGACTTTTGTTTACATGCTGTAAATGGTAAATTCAAGTGCTATGGGAGCTGCAGACACCGATTAGATCAGGACTCAGTCTGATATGGGGCTGTTGCCAACCAGGCAAAATTCTTGTTCTGACAAAGATTTACGAGTTTTGACATGACCCGCTTTGCTGTTGTGCATATGTTCCTGGCGACTTGAGCTTAACTGAAAGTAGTGTGTGAATGTGAGCTTCACAGGCGTGGGCTTTTGCTACACTTTGCCCTCCCTGTGGAGAAAACATAAATCCCAGGCAACGCTGGCATAACCTGCTGATCTATCTTGATTTACAATACTAGTGGGAAGAAGCAAATCAAGAAGATGCCATCTCACTAGAGCAAACCTCTGGAAATAGTTTTCCAAATTGTTGCTGCTTTTAAACAAATTGAACCCAAATGATTTCATCTGAATTCATCCCGCTTGTATCAATGCAAGTCACTTGCAAATTGTTCCTCTAGGTTGCTGGTGGCTAACCCTAGTTTGGGAGCCTGGTCTGGCCCCATGAGCAATTTTTTCTGACCTCCCCACCAATTTCGGTGGCGGGGCAGGGGAAAAATTGACCCAGCAGTGAGGGGCAGAACCCAACACCCTAATGAGGATGCAAATTGCCCTGTCCCTAGTCATCACATTGTCATTCTTTTCGTGACCCCCTGGACCAGAGCACTCCAGGCACTCCTGTCTTCCACTGCCTCCCGCAGTTTGGTCAAACTCATGCTGGTAGCTTCGAGAACACTATCCAACCATCTCGTCCTCTGTCGACCCCTTCCCCTTGTGTCCTCAATCTTTCCCAGCATCAGGGTCTTCTCCAGGGAGTCTTCTCTTCTCATGAGTGTAGCCGTCATGAGGAGGAGCCTCAGCTTCAGGATCTGTCCTTCCAGTGAGCACTCAGGGCTGATTTCCTTCAGAGTGGAGAGGTTTGATCTTCTTGCAGTCCATGGGACTCTCATCAAGTAGCCCACATCAACTGGGGAAGGGTCATAACCTCAGCTGATGTGCATGGTGGGGGGCTATGTTAAGGCAAGAGAGTGTGGGGTAGTCACACCCAAGTGGCTTGTGGGTCCCTGAAGGTTGGTCAAGGCTGCCTGAAGTTCTCAGATCCTACTCCCCCCCCTTTCAAAAAAAGTTAACTACCCTTTGTTTTAGGTACAGAACCATCTTGCAATATTGATAATGTACATGGAAGTTTGATATTACAGAGCTGCTAAAACAAGGTCATTTCTGTGTGATCACACAAGCAACTGGAAGCTTTTATTTGGGGGAGAGAGAATGGGTACCCTAACCTGGCACCTTCTGAATGTTCAATTCCCTTCAGCTTCAGCTGGAATGTCCAGTGTTTAGGGGTGATGGGAGTTGTAGTCCGGCAACACCAGCAGGTTGGTGAAGAAACTCAAGAGAAGTAGACATTAACTGTTTTTAATTTTGGCAGAAATTTGGAAACCTCCCAGCCAATCACATGCATCTCTTGATATGAGTTAATTATACAACTTGCAGAGGGTTTTTTTCCCCCTTCTTTCTGTGATTTTGTCATTTGGAAGGCAAAGGGGTTGGCAGATGGTTCTATAAAAGGGCATTGCTGCTGATGTGATACAAAGGAAGCCTTTAGCACTGCCAGCATAAGCTCTGATGACATTAGCCTACAACCTAAATGAATACACATATCTCTGGGTATTACTCGGGTCATGTTGGCATACAAAATCCTGCTAGATATGCATGGATCTGGACAAGAAAGCACAGAAGACCAAGATAATTTGGGAGGTGATGCCAGAACAGGTTTCTAATGGGCAGCTTGTGTTGTTAATTTAAAATAGGACCTGTTTTTCCGTTGCCTTTAGCCTCGGCCCATAATGAACCCTTGAAGCTGATATGTTAGATTTGTGCTGCGCTCACTTCATGATCTCAGTGAAATTTCAACTGAATGAAATCCTTGAGTGGTCTGATGAAACCAGCATGCTCCCCTACAATAATCTTCCCAGGGTCCATTGTGAAAAACTACAGGTGGTGTTTTGTTGGTGACAAGGGCTGCAGACCTTATCAGCCGCTTGATTTTACCCTTATAACCCTGTATGGGCTCCCTCAACTGCCATGAAATTAGCTGAGCAAGCCCACAAGCTACTATTTAGGTACGCAAACAATGCAGGCTATAAATTGAATAAATAGCGATAAGTAACTCCCACTCCGTGGGACGCGGGTGGCGCTGTGGGTAAAAGCCTCAGCACCTAGGGCTTGCCGATCGAAAGGTCGGCAGTTCGAATCCCCACGGCGGGGTGCGCTCCTGTTGTTCGGTCCCAGCGCCTGCCAACCTAGCAGTTCGAAAGCACCCCCGGGTGCAAGTAGATAAATAGGGACCGCTTACTAGTGGGAAGGTAAACGGCGTTTCCGTGTGAGGCTCTGGCTCGCCAGATGCAGCTTGTCACGCTGGCCACGTGACCCGGAAGTGTCTCCGGACAGCGCTGGCCCCCGGCCTCTTGAGTGAGATGGGCGCACAACCCTAGAGTCTATCAAGACTGGCCCGTACGGGCAGGGGTACCTTTACCTTTTAACTCCCACTCCACAACAACAACAAGGAAAATTTGTATGCAGCAGTGCTGTGTATCTGGATGATTTTCCTGCAGGACTCATTGGGGCCCCAATGAGCTAGCTGTGTGTATTTGCCATTCAGGGTCAATACTTCCTTTGCAAGATTAGACCTGAGTTGGGACAATCGTTATTAATCCTGGCCTGGCCATTTAATACACATTGCCCATAGAGAAAAGGAGCTTCCCCCGCCCCGCCCTCCTGCCAACACGTGTGTTAGTTTGTGTGTGTGTGTGTGTGTGTAGTTGTTTAGTCGTTTAGTTGTGTCTGACTCTTTGTGACCCCATACACGACACACACACACACACACACACACACACACAAAACCAGATTATCAATCAATATACCCATTTACATTCCCCCCTTTTTATCCCCCCCCCCGGACTTCCCTCAGCTCCTCTCTGGTTTCTTTGCACATATAATCCACTGCAGATTGTAAAATTGTACATATCATTGCCTTATCTATCATATACAGTGGTGCCTCGCAAGACGAAATTAAATCATTCCACGAGTCTCTTCGTCTTGCGGTTTTTTCGTCTTGCGAAGCACGACTATTAGCGGCTTAGCGGCTATTAGCAGCTTAGCGGCTATTAACGGCTTAGCGGCTTTAAGAAAAAGGAAACATACTTGCAAGACGTTTCGTCTTGCGAAGCAAGCCCATAGGGAAATTCGTCTTGCGGAACGACTCAAAAAACGGAAAACCTTTTTCGTCTTGCGAGGCATTCGTCTTGCGGGGCACCACTGTATTCAACAAATAAGTTTGTGGGTGTTTATTCAAAACCTGCTGAGGAGTCCAAATCATTTTGTTGTCTGTGTTAGTCTAGTTCAAATGAAGAAGACTTGTTGTAATATTCATCGCTCCATGAAGCAATAGGGGGATTGGGGCACATTATGGTTGAGCGTGTTGCAGCGGATAGATTTCTTCAGCTTTGGAGAAGGTCCAGGTCCAGGTCTTTTCTTGGCCTTTGGAAGGGTTTCAGATAGCCTTGGGCAATGCTCACACCCCTTCAGTTGAACCTGCTTTGCAAGGTTGCTTCAGTGACATGAAATAAGAATTGTGAAATGCTTTTTGTACCGTGCAAAAAGCGGCATTGCTCCTCCCTCTGTGTAAATTTAGATGTGCAGTATTTTAAGATATGATGCTAATACAGGGGCAATGGATTACCAGTTGAAAGCTAAAAACTGTGCGTGTTTATTCTTTGCAGCTCTCCCATAAGTCTTGCTGTCTATATTGTGAGGAGCAAGCAAAGGCATTTCCGGATATGTTGATGTAGAAACCCCCCCAAAACCCTGTGCATACTCTGAAAATTCAAACTATTGGCCTTCAGGGTTTCCATGAGTAAAGTTTCCCTTCAAATGCAACTGTGCTGATCCAGGAAAGCAATTAGGCCTCTGATTTGACAAAGTACATTTAACACACTATTTCTTCCAAACACAGTGTCTTTTTCTCAAGTTACATTCGCAGTGGCTCTGGCTAACAAAGGTTACATAACTGAACTGATACATTAATCATCTTATACCAAACTCGATATTCTGTTTCCAGCAAAATTCTCTCAGGCAAGTTTTATGACCCTTGCACTCTAGTGATTTGAAGTTGTTGAGTAGCTTAAAGAAGAGTCACTGTTTGCCCGCTGCTGGGAAGAGGAAGAGATATACTTTACCTCCATTGCCAGAGGCATTGCAGGTGGGCGGAGGCTTCCCAAGGCATCTGGTTTGGCCACTGTGAAGACGGGATGGCCATTGGCCGGATCCAGCAGGCTTGCCTTATGTTCTTATGAGCATGGGTGGATGGCTTCTGCCTCAGTTGGTGCAATCTCTTGTACTCATCCTCCCTTCTAGAGAGAAGCAGAAACATTTTTACGTGATGTGGAAGCAGGCAGGTGTACTGGAACATCTGGGAGAAGGTCTTCGTTGCCAGTGCTTGGGCCAGAACAAATAAAGGAAG